TGTCTTTCTCGTTCTTTCTATTTTTCTCATAAGCTCATTCTCTCTCTTTCTCTTTCTCCTTTTCTCTTTCTCTTTCTCTCTTTCTGTGTGTGTGTGTGTCTCTCTCTCTGTTTTTCTCTCTCTCTGTCTGTCTTTCTCTCTCTCTGTCTGTCTTTCTCTCTCTCTGTCTGTCTTTCTCTCTCTCTGTCTGTCTTTCTCTCTCTCTGTCTGTCTTTCTCTCTCTCTGTCTGTCTTTCTCTCTGTCTGTCTGTCTTTCTCTCTGTCTGTCTGTCTGTCTCTCTCTATCTCTCGCTCTCCCCCTCCCTCTCTCCCCCTCCCTCTCTCCCCCTCCCTCTCTCCCCCTCTCTCTCTCCCTCTCTCCATCTCTCTCTCCCTCTCTCCCTCTCTCCCTCTCTCCATCTCTCTCTTCTCTCTCTCTCTCTCTCTCTCTCTCTCTCTCTCTCTCTCTCTCTCTCTCTCTCTCTCTCTCTCTCTCTCTCTCTCTCTCTCTCTCTCTCTCTCTCTCTCTAGTTACTTTATATACAGTTATAAAGCGTTTTACAAGTGTACAAATCCGAGATTGACGCATAGGCCTACAGGAGAAATTATAATGCGTGATGATTTTCCCGCTCACAGAACTTTGGCCTTGAGCGCGACAAAGAATTCCCAGGTCGCGGCATCTGCCCTTTCGACCCAAATCACAACAGCACGGCGGTGTTTGCAGGTAATGAATGTATTTTGTTCATATTGCCTTTCATCATTCACAACCATCGTCGTAGTTTTTTTTTCTATTTATTTCGTTATTATTGTTGTTGTTGGAATCGTCATTGTAAAGGTCATTCATTATTATTTTCATTGTTTGTTGTTATTACTGTCATTATTGTTATTAACATTATTATGATTATAAAGTCAACGCTTTTGCTTAGTGTATCCATACGCCTATTCGTGTTTCTAAATTGCCTTCTCTTTTCTCACGCTCAGATGGTCACCTGTATGTGGGAACCATCGCCGACTTCGCTGGGCTGGAACCACTGATTTACCGGGATCCTTTGCGAACCGAACAGTACGATCTGTCCACGCTAAATGGTGAGGAGAGTGCGTGGGGTGTGGGTGCGGAAAGGGTGTACGAATGTGTGTTGGTTAACGGGGAAAGGGTGTGTGTGTATGTGTGTGTGTGTGTGTGTGTGTGTGTGTGTGTGTGTGTGTGTGTGTGTGTGTGTGTGTGTGTGTGTGTGTGTGTGTGTGTGTGTGTGTGTGTGTGTGTGCGCGCGTGTGTGCGTGCGTGCGTGCGTGTGCGTGTATTTTTGCGTGCCTCTGTGTGTGTGTGCGCGCGTGCCAATTCATACACTTGCGTACATATTTGTTAGTGGTGAAAAAATGTGTACGAAAGTTTCAAATGAACATGGGCACAAAAAAAAGACAAAATAACTTTACATATATATTTGCTCTCTCCTTTCAGCCCCCAACTTCGTCAGTTCTTTCGCTCTCGGTGATTTCGTCTACTTCTTCTTCCGAGAGATTGCAGTCGAGTATCTGAACTGCGGGAAGGTATGTTTTATGGCCCGCGCTCTCTGGTAAAGGGATTTTTGTGTCTGGTAATTAATTTACAGCAAAGAGCGGGCTTATGCGTACAAAATTATTTATATCGCTTTTTATTATTTCATTTAGGTTGGTCTATCCTAATCTTTTGTGTAGGTTTAATTAAATAGGAGAGCTTTTAGAGTCTTTTCTTTTTGATGTTGCTAGGAATCTCCATAATGCATTTCCTTGACAAAAGTGCCTAATCAGTAAAACATTTTAAGAGTATGTTGCATAACATTTTGACTTAACTAATTTATATTGAAGAATCGAAATGAATGGTGGGGTATGGTATGTATTTATTGTTCGCTCGTATGTTTATTTGAAAAAAAAAGCATTGAACAGATGTTCAAAAATTGGAAATGCGATAGACAAATAGACAGATAGACATATAGACGGTAAAGTTTGAAATTTAGAAAATAGAATTACAGGAAGATATATCAAATAACACGTCGGCGTTGCAAAGTGATGTTTAATGATATGCAAATTGTTGGGAACAAGACCTATTGTGAATGGAACTTGAAACTTTTAATGTTTTAGTTGGAACTGTTTTTGTGATTTCAATGGCAATTGACAATAGCAGGTGACACGTTTGACAAGAACCTGCCGTGGATTTTAGCAACTACAACATTCTTTAAAATAAATGTATACCATTTTTTTCACTTCCCTCAAGACCCTGTATTCACGTGTGGCCCGCGTGTGCCGGCATGACAAAGGGGGCCCGCACAAGTTCAGGAACAAGTGGACCTCTTACTTGAAATCGAGACTCAACTGCTCTGTGTCCGGCGACTTCCCCTTCTACTTCAATGAGATACGTGAGTGTGGATTGCTATTCTGGTGCGAATTATTCATGGGCGATACTTTCTTTGTGATAATGTTTTGTTGTTCTTGAGGGAGGGAATTCTTAGGAATGTGATTGAATGGTAGACTAGGGGTTTCTGCATATATTTAGAATTATGTTGTATGGTAAGGGGTAAGAAAATAGAGGGAGATACCCAGTATGTCTTTTCTTTCTGCAAAGAATAAGACAAGTAATAACTTTATTATACTTTCAGTAATGAAAATGGCTAAGATAACCCAGAAGTGTATAATGTAGTAGAAAGCAAATTGTTGAATATATAAGCTTTAAGAATACATTAGTTACTAGAACTTATAGAATCCAGTATTATCATGGACTTGGAAATACAAAGAATACCAAAGGTGATTATACTCTAATAACACTTACAGAGGCCACAACTGAACCTGTTGAAGGGCGGTATGGAGGTCACGCAACCACCCTTTTGTACGGTGTCTTCACCACCCCAGAGAACTCAATCCCAGGATCAGCAGTTTGTGCTTTCACATTTCAAGACATTATGGATACATTTGAGGGGCCATTCAAAGGGCAGGCCTCTGTGAATGCTAACTGGCTGCCTGTTCATGGAACTCAGGTGAGAGGGAGAGGGGATGATACAAGGTAGAGAGTTGGGTGAAAATATTTGTATAAAAATCTTTTAACTGATAATCTCTTAGATTTGCACATTGTACTGCATAGCAGTCTGTGTTTGCTTTAACATTGTTGCATTCTGTAAAAAAAAGTTGATTTGGTATGCCTTCAGTTGATAGATGTGCAAGTGCTGAGGATGGTTTTTGAGAATTTTCTATGTGATGAAATATGGAAAATATACTGGATAAGACATAGGGATGTGTATGATTACCACCATCACTTTTCAGAATAAAGTTGCTACTTATAGCTTTACTATCTACAAAAGATCAGAATTTTTATGTATGATCATCTGCCATATCATTGAAAAAACTTAACTGTTGGAGCTATTGGAAAGATACCATAGAATTACATTTAGATTTAGATAAGTATATGTAGCACTGGTATTTATAATGACTAAATTGCATTTAGTTTATAACAGTAACATGCATTTAGAGATTATTATTATGCATTTCTTTTACTAGAGTGTTTTGTGAACTATTAACAGGTACCTGAACCAAGACCTGGACAGTGTGTGAAGGACTCGAGCACTCTGCCTGACGTCACACTGAACTTCATCAAGTCACATTCACTCATGGACGAAGCTGTGCCTGCATTCTTTGGCCAGCCTATACTCATTAGCACCAGCTTTCAGTGAGTGTTTTTTCTTTTTCTTTTTCACTTTTTTCATTTTGGTTTTTAAAATGTAAATAATTCTTATTCAGTTAAGAAATATGCAGAAAATGCCCTAAAAAGTAGCAAAAAGTAGCACAGTTTTTTTTTCTTTAGAGTGAATGAGTGGGCTAGTAATAGACTGAGTGACTGAGTAATAGACTGAGTGAGTGAATGATGCTTAGGTAAGTGAGTGACTGTGTAGGTGAGTGAGTCACTGAGTGTGTAGGTGAAGGAGTAAGTCAGTGAGTGGATAGGTAAAAGAGTGCATGAGAGGGTACATGAAAGAGTACGTGAGAGAGTTAGATATATAGATATATAGATATATAGATATATAGATATATAGATATATAGATATATAGATATATAGATAAATATATATATATATATATATATATATATATAGAGAGAGAGAGAGAGAGAGAGAGAGAGAGAGAGAGAGAGAGAGAGAGAGAGAGAGAGAGAGAGAGAGAGAGAGAGAGAGAAAGAGAGAATGTGATTACATTACACTGCATGAAGCAAAATTTTAATTTTTTTATATCTTTTCAGCTACAGTGGTCGCTTCACATCCATAGCAGTTGATCAGCAAGTTAAAACTCCTGATAACAAATATTATGATGTACTTTTTATTGGCACTGGTAAGTAGAAATTGTATTAGCTGTGAATTAGTATTTTTTTCTTATGAATGTCACTTCTGGAGTCTTGATCTTATTTGTTATTTATTTATTTATTATTTGATGGAAATGATATTATATTTTCTTGTTCACATTTCCTCCATTCTCTAATGTTAAAACAAATAAGAGCACATCTTGGTATTTTAAATAACACACAGCAATTTCACATATCCATAGCATTATTACTGTCTTCTTTGTAATATTTTACAAACTTTATACATTACTATACATCCTAATAAAACTTTCTCACCTTTAGATGACAGAATGATGAAATTAAGTACCAACTTTATGATTATTTGTGAACTAGAATTTATTCATTTTCTGCACATGCTAACACAATCCACTCCATTGCAGATGATGGCAAAGTGATCAAGGCCATCAACACTAAGTCTGCAGACTCATACCAGGATGTGGAACCCTTCATCATAGAAGATATCACTGTCTTCCCCTCAAACATGGCTGTCACTTCTCTCCAGATCATCAAGCCAAAAGGAAAGCAACCTCGGCTACTTGTCAGTTCGCGATCAAGGATACACTCCATTCTTTTGAGCCGATGTCAGACCAATAAGATTACTGAATGCAGGTATGCGTTTTTACATATGTGACATGAGTTAGTCTTTACCAGCTGTGTTGCGGTATGTTATGGTGGCTGGGAAAATATAAGCTAAACATTAAACTGCAAGATCAACTTTTCCAAATTGCAAGCACAAGACTGGAGAATATATGAGTGTTTTGTTGATTGAAATAGAAGAGCTTCTTTTCATTTAGTCATGCATATTTCAGATACTGATAACAGAGTTGCAGTGATACTAAATCTTATTTTATTTTTGTGTTATTATCTCATTTTATTCTCTGGGCATAATCTGTCTGACAAAATCTCAAATCCATTTTCTGTAATGCCTTCCAGTGAGTGTGTAGCCTTGCAAGACCCCTATTGTGCTTGGGACAAGAACAAGAACAAATGTCGCCTTTACACATCTGGCAAGGAAATGATCCAGAATGTGAGTGAAGGCGTGCACAGCGACTGTGGCAATACCGAGAAAAAGGTTAAGCCGCCTGCGCACTCTGCGTCCATCAATCGGGAGTCTTCGGGCACACTTCCCCCCATTCACAACCAGCCTGATGTCGGTGGTATGTTTGAGATTCCGAGTTTCTGATTTTTAGATATTGAGTTCTTTGGGATTTACATATTTTGCATTTGAATGGAACAGTTCAATGTAGTTTGTTTTTTTCAGTTGGTTATTATTGAAAGGGCTTTGTGCTTTCCTTTTTTTCTAAGAAAATCTATCTAGACTGACAAATGTTTAGGTATCGAGAATCATTTAGGTATCAACACATTGCAGTGTTGTTAGATTCTACTTTTGTTATCAGCTGGGAAGCATGTCTGTGGATTCTGATGTACATTAAGTTCTTTGCTTTCACCGTTAGACCAGACAAGAACTTAAAAAAGAAAGGTTGTTTCAAGCTTACATAAGCGATGAAAGAGAACTCTATTTTCATATTATGTAAAAACAGTTAAGCCACATGGATTTATCAGAATTTTTATGAACTCCTTTCATTGTACTTCATTAGGATTTTTGTCCAGTATAATTATATGTAATTTCAAAAATTCAGCTTTGCATTTATATGTTCTTGGCCTTTGCTCACTTTTTATTTCCTCCTTTTCTTCTAATCATTAGCATACAAAGGTTCAGGTATCCTTAAACTTTCTCCCCCCCAATCAGACCATGATATAACGAGGGCCCAGACCGTACCACAGCAGTTCACAGCAGAGACCCTGGCCATTGCTGTTGCCTCGGCCACCATCGGAGCTCTCATTCTTGGCTTCATCACTGGTTTCTTCTGCGGCAAGAAATGCAACAAAGACGAGGACAACCAGCTCTACGCAGACACTGACTATGAGTATTTTGATCAGAGACAAAATCCCAATCCGTGAGTGATGCTCTTGATTCGTTTGTTTTTGTTTTCTTTTGTTTTTGTTTTTCTTTTTTTCTTTTTCTTTTTTCAAGAGATTCTTTTTCTTTTTTATTAATTTGGGGCTAAATGTTGCAAAGTCTTTGATTTAATTTAGTTCCCATAGGATGATAGATTACTTGACTCATTATTATTATTATCATTATTATTATTATTATTATTATTATTATTATTATTATTATTGTTATTATTATTTTATTGGTATTGTTATGGTGATGATTATTATAGTTATTATTATTATTATTATTATTATTATTATTATTATTATCATTATCATTATTATTATTTATTAATAGACAATAATGATAATGATTATGATATTGATGATAAAGATAATGATGATGATAACAATAACAATAATTGTGATATTGAAGATGATAATGATAATAATTATTTTTATTATCATTATTATTTTTAATATTATTATTATCATCATTATCATCATCATCATCATTGTTGTGATTATTATTATATTGTTATTATTTTTATTATTTCTATTATGATTATTATTATATTTATTGTTTTAATAACAATAACTATTATTATTGATATTATTATTATTATTGTTTCTGATGTTATTGATATTATTGATATTTATTAATAGATGATGAAGATAATATGATAATGATAATCATGATAACAATAATAATGATGATAATTATAATAATAATATGATAATAATAAAAGTAGTAGTAATAGTAATGTTAATAGTGATAATAGTTTTTTATAATAATGATAATTGTAATGATTATTATTATTGTTATTTTCATTATTATTATTATTATTATTATTATTATTATTATTATTGTCATCATTATTGTTATTATTATTATTGTTATTTTGGTTATTTTGCTTGTATTATTGGTATTGGTATTATTATTATTATTAATATTATTATTATTATTGTTATTGTTATTATTGTTATTATTATTATTATTATTACTATTACTATTATTATTATTATTATTATTATTATTATTATTATTATAATTATATTATTTTTATAACTATTATTATTATTATTGTTATTGTTATTATTATTATTATTATTATTATTTTTATTATTATTATTGTTATAACTATTGCTATTAATTATTATTATTATTATTATTATTATTATTATTGTTATTACTATTATTATTTCCATCTTTGCTAGTGTTATGTTATGTTATCATTGTTGTTAACATTCATAATCTTTGTTTTACTATATTTTGTTTAGTGTGGTGTAGAAATCTCCATCTTCGAGAAACTTTAAGCTGTTTCTTTTTGTTAGTTAGATTTTTATGCATATCCATATCAATTTGAGTACCTGAGATTTTTATCTTGCTTTTTATTACCATTATGATTTTTTTTTATTTTTTTTTTACTGTATATTCGTTTGATAACTGAAATTCTTTTAGTGGTGATCACAGATTTATGATATAAATGATTGCTTTGTCTTTTTTTTCTTAGGTATCAAGGTTCCCTTTATAATATTTTTTTTGACAGTCATCCTTTAATGATTTAGAAATTACATCTATTATTGTCAGAGTGGAATACAGTGCAAGGCTGTGTGAGGAGAGTAAAGAGTGAAATTTCCTTTGTGTTTTTATTAGAGCAGGAAGTAAGTGATTGTCTTTCATTAAGCTTGCTGCTTCTTTTTCAGAAGTAGATTCATTTTGCCATGTTTTTTGAGAAGTACTACTTTTTTTTGGAAAATAGATTAATGGGAAGGAACTAAGTGACTTCATTACAGTTCATGCTATACATGTGAATGTATGCAATGAATGGAGAAAAATAGAAAAAAAAAAATCTTCAAGCCTTATGGTTTCCACTTGCTAGTAATATAAATATTTTGACCACTTTTACCTTAAAATTGGGAAGCAGTCATGGTCAGGCAGTGGAGATTGGCGCTATGGCACTTCGCAACCCTTGCTCATCTCAGTACTCGGCTCCCTCACGCCCTCAAGCGCCTCCTCACTTCCACTCTCCTCCCTACAAGATCTAGAGGTACTACTGCTTCAAAAAATAACCCACAAAAGAGACTGTCACTGTGCCACCGAGGCTAGAAACACTGTTGCCATGTCACCTACTAGTCAAAATTCTCTTTTCTTTTTTCTTTTTTTTCTCTTTTTTTTTTTTTCGTTTTTAAAATTATTCTTTACTTTGTCCCTCCATCCCCCCCCAACCACCACCAACAATCCCTCAATTCGCTGAACTTGTTTCTGAGCCACGTTGGCATGAACATACCAAAAAAAAAAAAAAAAAAAAAAAAAGCCCTACATTGCACCCTCACAAGTAGAAGTGAGACACGTAATAAAGGTGTTTGGTGCCCCTTAGCAGGTGTTCCTCTGGTGGAGAGTGGCACTAACACTGAATATGCATTTGTTCTCAGATGCTTAAGGGCTTAAACTGAGCCCTCTACTCAGTGAGACAGTGAAAGAGAACCACTTTACATGAGTGCTTGGGATAGCTGCACCCCCATGGAAACTAAGAGATCTCGGTAATTGCTAGGGTGTGTCTGAAATTATGGGGATTTTTGCTACTTGTTCCATACATAACAATGCAGTTAATTAATGACTCATTTGCTTAATGCATACAAGTGGAAATCATGCGAACCTCTTCTTTTTTATTCGCTCTCTTCTTCATTCGTTTGGGACATAGAATGAAATGTGCGTTTGTCTTGTGTACTGTATGTTATACTGTATATATATTGCTGCCATTTCATTTTGGAGGTGTATAATTGTTTAACTGTGAATATTCTGCCAGTGACATATTATAAAAAATATTTTTGATGATATAGGCACTTCAGAATTTTAATGGTGTATGTAAAAATCTGATTTGATATATTACTATTTATTTTGATAATTTATGTAGCCAGATTAAGAAATATGTATAGTTTTTAGTACTATGAGACTAAAATTGGGTGATTAATTCTGTTAATGATTGTCATTGCTCCCACTTTTAGGATGAGACAGACTGGTGTTATTTTAGATAAGAAGTAGCTGAGAAAATATATTTCAAGGTTATTATGTAAATCATATGGAATGACAAGCTTTTTTATATTGTAGGTTGTAGCTGTGAATATGTATCACATGGATAATGATGTAAATCACATGAAATTACTGTTTATATACAGTATTATAACTAACATGTTAAAATATTACTGCATTTCAATTTTTTTTACTCATTTGACAACATAGTTCTGTATATTAGTTAAGTGATATTTTTTATCATGCAAAATTCCACCATAGATTATTAACACACTGGCACTCACTTGGTAACTTTTTTGTTTACACTGTGCCAGACATACATATCTATGGATATTACTACATTTTTTATTTATTTAGTGCTAAAGATTTAAAACTTAGGTTTGGAAGTTCAAACACATGATTGAGAAATAGCATAATACTTTCTCATAAAGTTTAAAAGAATACAGGTGCCAAGGTTATTGTTTGAATAATTCATAGATTATATATTTAGCGGTCCCAACAGATGATTAGGAAGCTGTATTAGAAGAGATTGGTAGGTCTCATCTCTGTTTAAGAAAATAATATTATGGAATATGGTAAAGAGATAATTAGCAAACTAGATGAACATTTTATAAGAGGGAAATACAGTAAGAACACTTGTGTACGAGAGATTTGGTAAAATGCTTTGTAAATGCACTATCATTGCAAAA